GGGCCTGTGCACCACAGTGAGTCACTACAGCTCTGTACACACGGGGCCTGTTTGCACTACAATGAGACACTACAGCTCTGTACAAACTGGGTCTGTGCACCACACTGAGACACTACAGCTCTGTACACACTGGGTCTGTATGCACTACAATGAGACACTACAGCTCTGTACACACTGGGTCTGTGTGCACTACAATGAGACACTACAGCTCTGTACACACTGGGTCTGTTTGCACCAGTGACCAGTAACTCACTACAGCTCTGTACACACTGGGCCTGCTTGCACTACAGTGAGACATTAACGCTCTGCACACACTGGTCCTGTCTATATAAGACAGTACTAGAATTATAAATGGATTCTTCTGTAAGAGGACAAAGGACACACAGGCCTCTCTCCTGTCTTGAAAACTCAGTGTGTCAGAGAACTCAGTGTGTCCTGTACTGCACAGAACGCCATCAGGGTATTAAATGCAGAAAGGGGTTCCCAGACGTGTCCCCGAAACCGCTGGATCGGGGCCAGGGGAGAGACAAAGCTGAGATTTATAGAGTTCCTGAACTCGCTTCTGGAATTTCCTAAACGGGGTTCGCCAGCAGGATGACACATCGAAATGGGGCGACAGGCGCACAGGACGTTAAAACCCCACCTTCTCCCCATAGTATGAGGGACCACAGTCGGGGGACTCACCCGGATAACTTCGGGACAGGCGTAGTGTGGGGACCTGCAGGGGCAACGGACACACAGCTCAATGAATAACATTCATTTACTGTCGGAAACCGAACGCAGCCACAGGCAGCGGAGCGGCCTTGCGACAACAAGGAGAGCGAAACTGGGCACAGACGCGCCCCGGGCCTCCGTGCTGGACTCACCCGCAGCTCGTCTCCAGCAGGCTGTCTCCCACCTGCAGCGAGGCCATCCCGAAATCCGCGATCCGGATGTTGTTCTTCTCGTCCAGCAGCAGGTTCTCCGGCTTCAGGTCCCTGTGGCTGAGAGACGTCCGCAGGGACGGGGTGACATTACAGTCCGTGCCCTCCCCTCCTCCCACATTCCCTCCCCCTGATGCACCGCCACTGGGAACAGCGGGCCTGAGCTGAACCGGCTCAGGTCCGACCGCCAGACAAGATCTCCAGCCGACTTTCCTGCCACTTTCACTCCGAAGGGGCTACGCCTCAGCCCACAGACCCCCTGAACTACAATCCGCGCGGGGTCACGCCGTCACGACGAGCGCCCCGGAGCACAGACGCGAGAGGACAAGCGACCCGCGTTCCGGCTTCGGCAAGACGCCCGAGGTCTCTCGGGTCCAATTCGACCCGGCCCGCCGGGCGTGAGCATCTGCAGACTCTGTGCGAGA